AGCGAGTTTCAGGACAGTCAGGGTTACAAAGAGAAATCCTGTCTCAAAAAACAAACAACAAAAACAAAAAGAACCTACTTCTTCAGGATTCCAATATAGGCTGAAAACCAGCTGAAGCACTAACTTCACTGACTGAATAACTCCTGAATTCTTGGCCTTTTAGAATCAGTCATTTTTGGACCAGCCAGACCCTGTCAGCCACTCTAATATTATATTATATATGCATTTTATCAGTTCTGTTGTAGAAAACCCTGACTGATATACCATGTATTATACAGTCATGGTGGACATGAGGCTCACCAAAAGTCGGGGAAGATAAGGGATCCCTGCAGCAAGCTGGCTAGCCAAACTAGCTGTACCATAGGACTCTGGGTTTACTTGATTCTACCTCAATGAATGAAATGAAGAGTGATCAAAACACACAGGTTCTAAGTGCTACGCACTTTCCAATTATTGTCCTTTAGCTCCTTCCTTTAGGACTTGATGTTTTACTTTATTGTTTTGGAAACAGGTCTTAAAATATGCCCAGGTTGGCTCGAATTCTGTTGAAGTGATCATCCTGTTTCACCTACTGAAGTAGGTGTACTACATGTAGCTGGAGTATAGGAGTATGCCAGCAAGCCTGGTTTATAGTCTAATTTTAATTTTTAAAGTCAAGAAATTTGTTGGATGGTGGCACATGACTTTAATCCCAGCACTCAGGAGGCAGAGGCAGGCGGATCTCGGTGAGCTCAAGTCCAGCGTGGGCTAAAGAGTGATTCTGGGCTAGCTAGGGCTACACAGAGAATACCTGCCCCCCACCAGAAAATTCAGAGAATAAAACAAAACCATTATATATGCTTTTTATTTAGTTGTACATGCACATGGACATGCGTGCACACCCACACACATTCCCCGTGGAGACCCAAATATGTCAGATCCTCTGCAGGGGGAGTTAAGGTGGTTCTGAGTAGTCTGGTGTGGGTGCTGGGAACTGTATTCAGGTCCTCTGGAAGAGTAGCAAGTATTCTTACCACTGAGCCATCTCTTCAGCCTCTAATTAATGTTTTAGATTAGCAGAGCAGTGAGTATCACCAGAGCATTTCAAGAGCCACTGTATTTTGTTCCTTAGAGTCTATTCCTAGTTTAAAAGAACTCAGGCTGGACATGTTCATTCACAGGAGGGCCAGGAGTTTCAGAAAAGCCTATGCTATATAGTGAGATTGTATCTCAAATAACTACTCTACATAGAAAAAAATGCCATAGACATACCTTCAGTATTTATACTGAGTTCATCTGAATTTTCTTCTGCAGTTGCGTAAGGGTTATTACCAACCATTGGCACCAGGCAATCAGTATAGAAATAACCAATCTTAGACATGTTCAGTGTAGAAATAATGAGATCGATTGCAAGCTGGCCAACATTTCCAACGGATACTGCCGGCTGAAATAAAAAAGATCTGCTCTATGAATCATCAAAATTAGCAGCACTTTTAAGTTTAGATAGCAAGAATACCGAATGCTTAGGCACACAGCAAGACACTGATTCTTTTACAAAGTAAAACAAACCAACAAAACTTCCTGTCCTTGTAGAGCTTCCATTCTACTAGGGAAGGAGTTTGTGATAAGCAATAATACGTACAGTAGTGTCATGAAAGAATACAGTGTATGCATGTATGCTGTTTTCAGTAGTGTGATTAAGAATAGGCCTACTCTAGGTGACAAAAGGCTACAGACTTCATGAAGAAGGTAAAGGGGAGAGCCACAGTTGATAACAGTATTTTCAAGGTAGGGAAAAAGCAAGGAGAAGGGCTGAGGTATGAACAACAACCAAATCTTGGGTCTTCTTTCAGTTAGCTTGCTACACTATTTACTCCAGAGTTTGGAACGATTGTATCCCCACATTAAACACAAACACACACATACACTCTTTCTCTCTATCTTTCCCATGGCTTCAAAGTGCCAAATATTTACCTTTACCCCACAAGAGTTTTCTGAACTCTAATCTACTGGACACGCCATGTGTTTATAGCACAGGCCACTCAATTCATATAAAGCTAAATTTCTGAACAAACTTCTCCTGTTTGTATTTCACAAAAGAGTAATATTATTTACTTGTTTGCTTAAACCAGGGATTTTCTTACTTTTCCTTACTAATTACACCTAGTAATGTAATATGCAAATAATTTTATTTACCACCAAAAATATCTTTTGTGTCGCATATGCACATGTGTATAAGCGCAGCTGCCTAGTGTGTGGGCACAGGTGCTTGTAGACACATGGATGGAGGCAAGTGGATAATGTTGGGTTTGGGTATCTTGCTCTGTTACTGTCTTGGTGCCTTGAGATAGGATCTCTGAGTGAACCCAGAGCTAGTGTGGTAACCAGGAAGGCTCAGTGATCCTTCTTATCTCTGCCCTCCATGGTGCAGGGGTTACAGGCCAACAAAGCCACAGTTTTTATGTGAGTGCCAGTGATGCTAGATCCTCAAAATTGAGCTATTGAGTTCTCACTGAGCCACCTTCTGAAGCTGTTTGTTATATCTTTAAACACAGATAACAGTCTATGTACATGTCCCAAGGCAAGGAACATAACTGTGATTCTTCCTGAGTCCACGGCTGAGGGCTCCCTATTTTCTAACACAACTGTGATCCTTCCTCAGTCTGCGGCTGAGGGCTCCCTGTTTTCTTCATGCTTTCAGCCATTGCCTTCTTTTGAACGGCAGTCTTCCCTGGTTACTTTTCCACTCTCACCGGTATTTTGATCCAGACTCCTGGTTACTTCCTGTAATTTTCTCAAGGATTTTGCTACTTTTGGGTACAACCACCAGTCTTATTATACTATTGGATTATGCCCACTGGTATATAAACATACTACAGTACTTTTATTCCTTTGCAAATTTTTTTTTTAAATTTTATGAGCATTGATGGTTTGCCACCAGAGTCGGGTCCTCTATAGAATCACAGACATTTGTGAGCTGCCATGTGGGTGCTGGGAATTGAACCCAGGTCCTCTAGAAGAGCAATCAGTTCTCTTCCCCCCTTTTAATTTTCAAAACAATTTTCTTTTGTTTTTTTGAGACAAGGTAGCCCTGGAACACAACACATTGATCAGGCTGACCGTGAACTCAGAGATCTGCCTTCTGAATGCTGAGATTTAAGGCTTATGCCACAACCACCCCAATAGTATTTTTATTCTCAAAATTAAAAAAAAAAAAGGGCGTACTTTTGATGCCATAGTACCTTCATTGCCGCGCTACTTCTCAGGCCTCAAAAAAGCTAAACTGCTCTAGCAGCGGTCCACTACAGTGTAGGCAGGATCTTTATCTCCAATACACACATGCGCTACCTAAGTGGTTCTCAACCCTCCTAATGCTCCCCTTCTACACCATTCCTCATGTTGTGGCTTAAAATTATTTTCACTGCTACTTTGTAATTTTGTTACTGTTATGAATCATCACATAAACACCTGTGTTTTCAGATAATCTTAGGCCCTTATGGGTCATTCAGCACCAAAAAGGGGTGGCACTTGACCCACAGGTTGAGGCTCCCTACTCTATCTCCACTTCTCCCAGTTATTTGACCACCCAGCAAACGGCATTCTTCACCATTTCATTAGTAACTTGCTTACCCCCCTGACCACCTACTAATGGTGCCACTCCCAAATGAACACTTTATAAAGCCTTACTTGCTTGAAACATAAGAGGTCTCTGTCTCTCCTTTTATAGCAAACACTACACTCTCCTCTGGTTCCTTCTAGGTCACTGGGCCTCAAGCCTACTCTCTCCACATGGCACTCTAAATTCTTGGCAGTTTTCTAAACATACGTGCCTTGGTTTGGCCTAAAAGGCATGCATTTTTCAGGGCACTCCTAGCCCCATCTTTTTGGTCACCGATTTGTCTAAGAGATCAAAAGCCCCTTGTGTTTCTCCTGCAATGTTTCAAAATTTAAAAACCTTTCAAAATGATGCGTCTGTGAGTACATACACGTGAGTGCAGCTACCTGAGAGAGCCCCAAGAGTGTCAGGGACCCTAGAGTTGCAGTTATAGGCCACTGCGAGCCTGTAACTGAACTCCATTCTCTGCAAGAACCCTACAGGTTCTAATAAGTGAGCCATTTCTCTAGCCCCTTAACCCTCAATTTTTCTTGTTCTGGTTGGTTTATTTATTCAGGAAACGTGACCCTCCTTTAGGATGTTCTGTAGACGCCTTCCAGTCTCAGTCTTGGACTGCTGGGAATACAGACTTGTTCAAAGCACTTTCGGCCTTCCTCCGGTCCATGATCTCATTTCTGTATCTTTTACAACCTTCCGTCTTCTTATTTATTGCTTTTTATTAATGTGCATGTGTTTCTAACTACATTGTAAACTTTGATGACAAGCATCTCTTCTAACAGTCACTGTAACAGAATGCGTATCAAAAATGACTAAACCAGGACAATTCTATAACTGCCCGTCAGCTAAGGTGGCAACTGATGGCCTAGATCAGTACTGGCCCAAACTACCTGAAAAGGAGACTTTCACGGATAAAACCTAAGGATTTTCCCCACGCTACTTATGTGCCATGCATCTGCAATCTACAAACATTACAGTCGACAGGCAACGAAAGCTACAGCAAGCGGTCTGGTTTTGATGGCGCTGACAGCGACAACCTCCAGAAGCAGCCAAGAGTCCGGTTCTCCTAAGACTAGGTGGCGCTTAACGGGTCGGGATGGCGACAGCGCCAAACTCAAGTGGAGACTCACCATCAGGAGTGTGAAGTTCGTTAGGTCGGGGACCGACTCCCCGCAGGGAACGAACATGACTAAGACGGGCGGAAGAATAGCAGGAGCACGAGCACGGACCTGATCCGGAGCGCAGGAGGCGGAACACGTGACGGCCGGGGTCCTTCGGGTCCTTCGGGCGGCCGGCGCTCTGCCTGAGCGCAGAGCGGAAAGAAGCCTTCAGCGCGCGGCCGGCAGATGGGGGACAGACACACGAGGAGGAGGGGACCGCGCGTGAGGGCGGGAAATGCCTGAGGCGGCGGCGCGGTGGACGGCGTCGATCAGGCAGCTCGGGGGACAGCCCCGGCGTCTGTCAATCCGCACCGTTTGAAAACAGTTTGTTGTGCCGCCGCGGCAGCCGGGTTCCCGCCCTGCCCGGTCTGACGCGATCGCGCCGCCGCGCCGCTTTGTGCTCCGCCCGCCACTGATGCTGAGTGTTCGGGACTACGGGCTCTGCGCTTGCATCGTCTGAGGCGGCCGCGAGGCGCCAGAGTCGGCATGTCGCTGCCTCCGGAGAAAGCCTCGGAGCTGAAGCAGCTCATCCACCAGCAGCTGAGCAAGGTGAGGAGCGCGGGCGGACCGGCCCCGAGCTCGGTTCCGGGCGCTCGGTGGGGACCCGAGCTAGGGCGGTGGACCCGGCCTGGGCGGGCAAGCATCTGCCGGGTGGGAGACGCGCAGGGAGCGCTGAGGGCTCTGCAGCCGGCGGGTGGACGGCTGTGAAACGGAGGCGATCGCTGGTAGTGTCCTCAAATTCTTGGAGAGGCGAGAAGTCAGGGTTACTTTAAGGCAGGAATCCTCCACTCTGCGGTAAGAAGCTGTGGGAGACATGGCACTCAAACGAGTGACAGCGAACTCGTTTACCGTACTCGGGGCTTCGGGGAGAAAGAAGCGCGAGTTTCAGCCAGCGGCGCTCCGCGGCTGCCTGTAAGCTGAAGTAATAAAGCCTCTTTATGGTGCGTTCGTGCGCCAGGCTGTGTGCCGAGTCGCTAGCTTCTTTTGTCGAATCCTCTAGACAGTCTCGCTTTTCCATCCTACAGGCAAGGGCAAATAAGTTTAGAGTTGCAAGTTGAATAAGCGGTCGCTTTCGGTTCTGTCTCCTTCTAGGTTTGCGTTCCTTTGTTTCTGAATCTCCACTCCTTTTCTAAAGATTTGTTTTCATTGAATTATTTGTGGGCAACTAGCAATAAAGTTAGTTTATAACCGGTTCAGATTGCTTCTAATATTTTGCTCAAACGCTTGCTTTTAAAATTGGCATTTGCCGGTAGTTTTAGAAGCCTCAAACTCTAGAAGCGTATTTAACTGCTTTATAATGCTGTAAATTGTAATGTGTGTTCTCTCCACAGATGGATGTCCATGGCAGAATCAGAGAAATTCTCGCCGAGACTATACGAGAAGAACTGGCACCTGATCAACAACATTTATCAACAGAAGATCTGATCAAAGCTCTTAGACGTCGAGGAATCATTGATGATGTAATGAAAGAACTTAACTTTGTGCCTGTGAGTAGTTTTCTAGGCAAACACATTGAAAGTGTTAATATTTGCTTGTAGGGCCCATACTTGGGGCTCTTCTTTTGTAAAACTACTGAAAGTTCATTCTATCTAGTAATAGCCATTTTTCTCAGGTTTTTTTTTTTGTTGTTGTTGTTGTTTTTTGTTTTTGTTTTTGTTTTTCGATCCAGGGTTTATCTCTATAGCCCTGGCTGTCCTGGAACTCGATCTGTAAACCAGTCTGGCGTCTGCCTCCTTGTGGTGGATAAAGGGCATGCGCTACCACTGCCCTTCCAATTTTCTTAGTTTTTAAAAAAGACTTGTTTGTCTGGTTGTTTTTCCCACATGTGAGTCAGTGTACCACTTGCCTGCTTGGTGTCCACGGTGGTCTGAAAGGGTGTTGGTAATTGAACTCAGGTCCTCTGTGAGAGCAACCAGGGCTCTAAACCACTGACTCATTCTTTCTTTGGGTGTTTTGTTGTTGCTTTTTGTTTTTCCAGGCAGGATTTTTTTGTGTGCCCCTAGTTGTCCTGAAATTTGCTACATAGAGCAGGCTAGCCTTGAACTCAGATCCTGACTGCTGGGATTAAAGACATGTGCCATGACAGCCCAGCTCCTTTTCTAAGGTTTTAAGTGGGCCCCACCATGAGTTGGCAGATAGTGCTGATGGGATGGGAGGTACACACATCTTCCTTTCTCTGAAGTGGCAGAAACTCCTCCTGTTACTCTGTGGATCTGTCATTTATTCAGTTAGGTCTGTTTTTTTAAAACAAATACACTTAGAAAATTCCTTAAGAAAAGAATGACTACATAAACCCCTCAAATCTCCGTACAAATAGGTCAGTAGTGGGATGTATCCTGGTGCACTCAGTAAGTAGACCTTATTTTGAAAATGAGGCAATAATGAGAAACTGTGGCCTCAATACAGGAATAATATCCTATTAAAAATAGGATGAACTCACACCCTAGAGAATTGGGTACTTTAATACTCTGTCATCAAAAGATTTGGGTTTTTAGGTTTGTTATAAAAACTGGCCTATTAACAGCCTCTGCTTTATGAATGTTACTTCTTATATTTTTATTTGTTTGATTTTGTTTTGTTTTTCGAGACAAGGTTTCTCTGTAATTCTGGCTGTCTTTGAACTTGCTCTGTAGACCAGGCTGTCCTTGAACAGGGAGAGCTGCCTTCCTCTGCCTTCCAAGTCCTGGAATTAAAGGTATGTACCGCCATCAGGTGACCAATTGTTACTTTTTAAAAAATTGATTCCTGGTGGAATGTTTTTGGATTATTTTTTTCTTTTCTTTTTTCTTTCTTTTTTTTTTTTTTTGAGACAGTATCTCACTATATAGCTCTGACTGTCCTGGAACCTACAAAGTAGACAAGGCTGGCCTTGCGCTCAGAGATCTGCCTACCTCTGCCTCCTAAGTGTTGGTAGTAATGGTGCATACCACTGTTACTAGCACCCAAATGTTATATAGGGTTTAAAAGAAATTTAACCTTGTTTAAGGTAACGGTTTGTTTTTAAGACCAGGCTTGGTGATACACACCTTTAGTTCCAACACTCTGGAGGTAGACAGACCTCTGTCAGTTGGAGGCCAGTCTGGTCTTCATAGAGACCCTCAGGACAGTCAGGGCTACATAGAAAAAAACCTGGGGGGCTGGAGAGATGGCTCAGTGGTTAAGAGCATTGCCTGCTCTTCCAAAGGTCCTGAGTTCAATTTCCAGCAACCACATGGTGGCTCACAACCATCTGTAATGAGGTCTGGTGCTCCCTTCTGGCCTTCAGGCATACACACAGACAGAATACTGTATACATAATAAATAAATAAATAAATAAATAAATATTTTTAAAAAACCTGCAAGACTACAATAACAAAAACAATTTAAAAAAAATTGTGGGGGCTGGAGAGATGGCTCAGTGGTTAAGAGCATTGCCTGCTCTTCCAGAGGTCCTGAGTTCAATTCCCAGCAACCACATGGTTGCTCACAACCATCTTTAATGAGATCTGGCACCCTCCTCTGGCGTGCGGGCATACATGGAGGCAGAATGTTGTATGCATAATAAATAAATCTTTTAAAAAAATGTGAATGGCAAGATTTAAATTAAGACAATTAATCCCTTCATTTTAGACTCTTATCAGTTAGATCTCTTTTATGCAGCTATTTTTTATTTATTATGTATACAGTGTTCTGCAGAAGAAAGCACTAGAAATGTGGTTGCAGAGAACTGAACTCAGGACTTCTGGCCGGGCAGCCAGTGCTCTTACCCTCTGAGCCATCTCTCAAGCCCCTTATGCAGCTATTTTAATTTTAATTAGACTAGTGAAAAAAAGGCTTTGATTTGTTTCCAATCTGTATGGTTTTACTTTTGGAGGCAGTGTGATCTAATCTCTTGCTCTTCTTTATGAAGGAGCCTGATCCTATAGTGTTTTGTTCTGCCATTGCTATCTTCTTAACTAGAATTCTTATTTTCTAATTTGTATTTTTCTCTGCTTTTCTAGGAGAGTGTTGTTGATCAAGAACTCTCTTCTCCAAAGCAAGCTGTTGCTTTTGATAAGCAATCAACATTAAAAAAAAGTATGTATATACATAAATATTTTTAACATAAACTTGTTTGTGGTGATTGATAATGGACATGCTATAGTGTTTGGCATTTGATAGAAAAGATTTCACGTTTTTCTTTTCAAAATGAAATACTTAAAATTTGTCATTAGTTTACCTAAAACTTAGATACCATTTTTTATAAAGTAAATGATATACTATATAGTACTATTGAACCAAAATAAGGAGCATTGATTTCTATGTCCTAATGATACATTTTATAAGAACTAGTGGTATACCACCTTTAATTCCAGCACTTGGGAGGCAGAGGCAGGTGAATATCTGTGAGTTTGAGGCTGGCCAGGTATATATAGTGAGTTTCAGTACAGTCAGGAATACACAGAGAGACCCTATCCCAAAAACAACGAATGAAAACTGTATATGCTTGCTTTTTTAGTGGTGAAATATTTGACAAATATGATTACTAAGTTGATAATGATTTCAGTTAGTTTGTGGAGGTGATTATATGCTTAATAAACAGCTAAAAAGCAAAGATACACCTGACCTTGGCTTTGATTCTCTCAGTCACATCAAGACTATAAATTTAGTAAAGAATATCATACATTTCTCCTTACCATAACGCAAATGATTCTGCTACATAGTAAATTTGGCGATTTATTTATGTCAAAGTCTTTATTTCTGTCACGTTGTTTCTAATGTCTTGATCACACTCATTCAGTTATTGGCAGTTTCCTCATATATTGCTACACTTTGCAGCTAATATTGATCCAACACGGAGGTATCTTTACCTTCAGGTTTTGGGTGGAAAAGCTTTCTTGGAACATCTGCAAGAACCGGAGCCTTTACCAGGACAAGTTTGTTCAACTTTTACTTTATGTTTACATTATCGGAACCAGCGCTTTCGTTCAAAACCTGTTCCATGTGCTTGTGAACCCGATTTTCATGACGGCTTTTTGCTTGAAGTTCACAGAGAAAGTTTAGGTAAGAAACTATAATGATATACCTAGCTACCTTTGTTTGCTTTTTGTTGCAGAACAACTGCAGTGGCTTCTGCTATAGAGAGATTGTCAACCCGGCCTGATGGCTCAACTTTTAATCCCAGCTTTCAGCACAGAGGCAGTCAGATCAATGAGTTCCATAGCGAGACAGACCTTGCAGGGTGGGGGAGGAAAGAGATTGATTATGATAGATAAGTATCTTTAGTTTAAGTTAATTGCTCATATCTGTCATGTACGGTCTTTTGTACCTTCAAGAACTGGAGTTACAAGTGTGTGTCACCACACTCAGTTTTGTAATTTAAAGTTTGAATCTGGTTGTGGTAGTTCATGGTTATAATTCTATTAAATGGGAGGTTTAAGCAGCAGGGTGAGCTCAGTCAGGAGGATTTCAAGTTGGAGGCCAGCCTGGGCAACATTAGTGAGACCACATCTCAAAAACACAAAACATAAAGAAAGTCAAAGTTGAACTGGAGAGATGTCTGCTCTTCCAGAGGTCCTGTGTTCAGTTCCCAGCAACCACATGGTGGCTCACAACCATCTGTAATGAGGTCTGGTGCCCTTGTATACATAATAAATAAATAATATTTAAAAAAGTCAAAGTTTATACAATGTATCAATGTATTAGATATATTTTACTCATCAACCTAAAGCCATAAAGCAATCAAAATTGCAGAAGTCCACCTAAATAATTTAGTGCCTTTTAAAGATACCTCAAAGTTTTTGGTTTTTTTGAGACAGGTTTTCTCTGTATGACAATTCTTGCTGTCCTGGAACTCACTTTGTATGTAGACCAGACTGGCCTTGAACTCACTGATATTTGCCTGCCTGATGATGCTGAAGACAAACCTTATAGTCAAGAACTCTACAAACTAAGCCTAGTCCTTTGTGATTTTTTTATTTCTTCCTATAAAAAAATTTTTTTGTTGTTGTTTGGGTTTTTGTTTTTTTTTTTTCAGTATAGGATTTCTCTCTGTAGACCTGGCTATTGTAGAACTCACTCTGTAGGCTGTTAACATTTTTATAGGGAGGACAGCCTAGTGGCAAGCATTTAATCCCAGTCCTTGGGAGGGAGAGACAGGTGGATCTTTGAGTTTGAGGTCAGCCAGGGACAACCAGTACTACACAGAGAAACTCTGTCTTGAAAAACCAAAAAAACCTAGAAAAGAGAAAGAAAATGCTAATGGGGGGTGGTGGCTGAGAAGATGGTTTTAGCAGATGAAGCCTGATGTACAAGCCTGGTGGTCTGAGTTTGGTTCCAAAATTCATGCAGTGGAAGGAGAGAACCAACTCCTGCAAGTTGTCCTTGACTTCCATATAAGTGCTGTGGTGCGTGCATATTCCACACATGTACACATAGGCACACACCAAAACTTTCCAAATGTTAATGAACACCAGGTGGCAGTGGGCCATGCTTTTAGTTCCAGAATTCAGTCTGAGGCAGGTGGAGCTCTGTGAGTTCCAGGCCAGGCTGGTCTACAGAGCTAGTTCTAGGACAGCTAGGACTGCTACACAGAGAAATCCTGTCTAGAAAAACCAAAATGAAAAAAAGAAAACAAAATTGTTAATGGGCTTGGCAGTTGTGGCACATACCTTTAATCCCAGCACTTGGGAGGTAGAGGTAGGGGCATCAAACATCTGGCATTTATGTGAGTTCTGAGGATCTGAACTCTCGTCCTCTTTATTGTACTGCATATATTTTAACCATTGAGCTATCTCCTTGGACCCTGGATCTTTCAGATTTATATAGAAAATACTGTAATAATTTCTGGAGTTAAAGAATGAATGTTATTTGAGGATTAATGATGACATATGTGTTTATTTTAATATTTATTTTTATGTGTATAGGTGTTGTGCCTGCATGTATGTATGTTTGTGCCCAATGTGCAGTGCCTACAGATGCTAGGAAAGGACATGAGATCCCTGGAACTGCAGAGGGTTGTAAGCTACCATGTCCGTGCCGAGAATTGAACAAATATCCTCTGCAAGAACAACTGCTATTAGCCACTGAGCCATCTGTCCAGCCCCCTGGATTTTTAGGTTTCTCTTTTTGGTGTGTATGTGTTTTTTTGAGATGGATCTCACTGTGTAGCTCTGGCTGGTCTTGAACTCACAGATTCTTTCACTTCTACTTCCAGAGTGCTGAGAATGAAGGTGTGTGCCGCCTCACCTAGCTGATGGCCTTTTCTTTTGTAGTGCCATGTAATATAATACATTTTTTTGAAAAATAAACTTTTTATGGGTCAGAAAGCACTACTGTCAATAACATAACTAAATAACTTCTAAATAACTCGTCCTATTCTGTCAGTCCTGTCAAACATCAGTCACAGAAATGGCATGGTGTTTTCCCCCGATCCTGGCATACTTTCAGAGATATCACCAAATTATTTCATTGTATATATGATTATTTAGTATACTTTTCAGTAAAAGTGTGTGTGTGTGTGTGTGTGTGTGGTGTGTGTGTGTGTATACCTGAGTGCTCATGTGTGCACACATGTACTCTTGATGCTGGGTATGGAATTCAAGGCCTTGGGCATGCTAGGCAATCACTACCACTTAGCTACATCCTCAGCTTGTGAAATGATTCTGTGTTCCTAAGTAATATGTAATATAGTATATTTTTTCCTTTGGTTTGTGTTGCTAGGTGATGGAACTAGAATGGCTGATTCAACAACAATGTTATCGATAAGTGATCCAATTCATATGGTGCTGATCAAAACAGACATATTTGGTGAGACCACTCTAGTGGCTTCCTATTTTCTGGAATGGAGATCAGTTTTGGGCTCAGAAAATGGAGTGACCAATCTGACCGTGGAACTTATGGGTGTAGGTATGATGATTAGTTGCACTCTCACCTTTTTATAAATACTGATTATTTGTAAATACATTTTATGTCATCTGAAGGGCTTTACAGGAGGGAGACCTTAAGACAGACCTTCATGAGAATTTCAGTAGTGAGTTTTCTTAGGAAATAATCAGGAAGAATAATGCCACCATAGTTCTTTAGAGCCAGTCTGGCTTATCCTAAGGATTTTTTTTCCCCCATTGGAAAATGAATAGAGATTTTGGAGGTTCAACATTTTTTTTTGTTGTTGTTAAATAAATATGAGGTTTAAAAAAAACAGGATTTTTTTTTTAAACACATGAATATGTGTTTGCATAAGCTGCTTTTGTCTGTGCCCCAGAGTACAGTACATCACCATCACTACAGTGGGTTATTTTGTTTTTGTTTGTGGATGGAATCTCACAGTGTGTCCTGGGTTGTCCTTGAGTTCCCTATATAGAACAGTTGGCTGCCTCATGCTACGATTATTGGCTATACCGTCGTGCCACCTTCATATCAACGATTATTGGTGAATGAGTAGATGTTCCTCTAGTCCCTTACAGTGGAGAGTTAACATTTGAAAGGTGATAACTTGTTCATTGTCAGTAGCAATGAATAATACAAGGCAGAGGTTGTACATTATCTTATTATTTCCTTCTTTTGCTTACTGCCTACTTTGTAATATATGTTAGCCCATAAAACAAATGAAACAAAGATCTACTAATGTTTTAACTATACCATATTGTGGAATTGCATTGTTGTTACAACTTATCCATACAAGTTGAACGTGGGGCTAACGTGATAGCTCAGTGAGTAAGATGCTGCACAGGTGGCAAGAAGTGAGTTTGTACCCCTAGCACCCACATAAAAGGCTGGGCATGGTGACATGCATCTATAACCCCAACCCTTGATGGCAGTGAAGACATGCAGATCCTGAGAGCACACTGCCCAGCCAGTCCAGCTAATTGGTGAGCTCCAGCTTTGGTGAGCTCCAGATTCAGTGAGAGAGTTTGTCTCAAAATCTAAGGCTGAGTGTAATTTAGTAGAAGGGACCCAACTTCAGCCTCTGGTATCCACACATTTGAGTGGGCAAAGCCATTTACATAATGTGTGTGCACACATACAAAGAAAAGAAAGAAAAGCTAAATTTGGTCAGTAAGCCCTTAGTAATTTGGAATTTAAGTCAGACTCAAAATATATCTGTATTTAAATAAGAACTTAAATAAAAGTTCTCTTTACACATGAAATTTGTTTTTAAAAGTGATTTCTTTGTCTTCAAAAATAGATAGACCTGGGCCTGGAGAGATGGCTCAGTGGTTGAGAGCACCGACTGTTTTTCTAGAGGACCCACATTCAATATACAGCACCCACATAGTGGCTCACTACTGACTGTAGTTAACTGCAGTCCCTGGGGAACTGGCCTTCAAGGGCACTGCATGCATAAGGTGCACAGGGTGCACGGGTAGATATTCATGCAAACACTCATAACTGTAAAATAAAAAATTGAAAATCAAACAACAAAAATAGGCCTAACGTGGTAATCATAACAATGACCTGGAAATAAGTATATGCCAATTTGCTTAAAAAATACTAAATGATGTGATAAGAAAGGGTAGATGGAATTACTGTATATAGTAAAAAGTACGAATGCATTCTGATTTTCATTGAGACAGAACAGGTTCTTAACAATTGCTTTGGTTTTGTACTTAATGTAATGTCTAGTTAGAATTATGTACTTAAAAATTTAAGAATTTTTAAAATTTAAGAATTCCAAATTTATGAGGTCAGAAGAGTTCCTTAAAGTGCTTTAGAAAGCTAAGAATATATTTAATGTTAAAGTACATGCTTTAGTAAAAAGTAAAAATCATTTTAAGAATTTTGATTCATTTTTAATATGACTATTAAGTGTAATGTTGAGTATTAACTCTCTACTTAGGTGATAAAACACCTTACTCCTAAAGTATTTTGGTATAGTCTTGAAAGTTCTACATTTTAAATAAAGTTTTTAAGTTGAAAATTTATTTGTTTTTATAGGCACAGAATCAAAAGTTTCTGTGGGAATTTTAAATATAAAACTTGAAATGTACCCACCACTCAACCAAACACTATCTCAAGAAGTAGTGAACACACAGGTAAGCCAGCTTTTCTTCTTTGTACATTTGCTTTAGTTGTAGGAAATATTTACTCTACAAACTATTTCTTTTTTCGAAAAAAAAAATATATATAATACATTCCTGTTTAGATTTGTACTAAAACTTTGCCGAAAGGGATGGGAAAAGAATTTTAAAGCTTGGGCTGGTGAAGCAGTAGTAGTGTTTGCTAAGCATATACGAGGCCCTGGGTTGATCACACTGTAGGACCGCAAGTGTGATGGGGGAGAGACCTAAAGCTGAAGGACATAGGAGGAGCATCGTGGGGAGGTATTTTTAAAAGTTTTATTGCATTTGCTTGTGTTTTCTGTGCATTGGGAGTGGGTGGGTAAATGTGTGCTGTGCTACTGTATAGCTTCCAGGAGTGGGTGCCGCCATTCCACCATGTGCGTTCCAGCAGTCAAGCTGAGGTTATTAGGCTTTTGGGGTAGATACCTTTGCCTGCTGAACCACCCTCATTTCATAGACATTTCCTGAGAGCTTGGTTTTTGTGTAATCCTCTGTAGAATGCATGGGGAGACTTTCTCTCCTGCTGGAATCCAGCCTTGGCTCAAGTCCTGAAATGGGAAGGGGTGCAAGGAAAAATTTGACCACCAGATGTATTGCACACGAGTGGCCCTGAATACTTTGAGCTGTCTTTATACTTTCACAGAGCTTGTTTCGCCAGGCTTACATAAACAGCTTTATTATTAGCTTCTATTTTTGACTACTAAGAATTACATCGAAGTCATCATAAGAGCTCCCTTGCCCCCCTTTATGCTCCCCCAAACACATTTTCTCATCCTACATAACCTCATTCTAGACTTAATTTCAAGGTAGGCACATCCTGTTCTTGCAGCACTTATGCCAGCTGACAGCTCCTTCAGTTACAGAGTAAAAGGTTAGAGCCATGGGTACATTGCTCTAAGAAGAACAATATTTGAATCCAAGCAATTGTTTTCTTATTTGTCAGATATGACTTTATATTGTGCATGGTGGCTCTTGTCTTTAATCCCAGCACTCAAGAGACAGAGGTAGGTGGATCTCTGAGTTCAAGTTCCAGGATAGCCAAGGCTACACGGAGAAATCCTATCTCAAAAAAAGAAAGAAAGAAAGAAAAGAAAAGAAAAGAAAAGAAAAGAAAAAAGATATGCTTTTATATAGTTACCTGATCTATAAGAGGGTGCTATTTATCTCAGTCTCTGTAAGAGGCAGACTTTGATAAGGCATTCCTTTCATATCTCACCATACTATTCTTCTTCCACCACTTTATACATTCTCTCTCTCTCTCTCTCTCTCTCTCTCTCTCTCTCTCTCTCCTGTGTATGGTTAATGTGGATATATTCATCCTATATTTTGATTGCATTTTTTTCTCTATTGAGTCAGAAAAGTTCTCAGGGTTAGGAATTGCAGTTTGTAATTCAAGATAATGAATTTTGTTGGAGGGGAGAGGCTGCTTATTTGTTCCCGGCTGCTCAACCCTGTAGTAATCACACAGAAACCACGTTATTTAAATCACTGCTTGGCCCATTAGCTCTAGCTTCTTATTGGCTAACTCTTACATATTAATTAAGCCATCTCCATTAATCTGTGTATTACCACATGGCAGTGGCTTACTGGCAAAGTTTCAGCTCCATGGCTTCTCCCTTACCCCACTTCCTTTTTCCCAGAATTCACTTTTAGTTTTTCGTTCCTAGCTCTGGTCTTTTGCCCTATCACAGGCCAAGATAGTTTCTTTATTCATTAACCAATAAAAGTAACACATAGACAGAAGGACCTCCCATACCAGAATTTGAGAAGCATTAACCCTCTGCTGAATCTTAGGGGAACATTTGAGAAAGAATGGAATTATAAGGGAAAATTACAGCTGTCCCATGTGTGACTGACAGAGTGAAACTGAAAACTGCCAAAAGAATCAACAACACAATGAAAGAGAAACGAGCCTGCAAGCCGTGTGAATCCAGTGGTGTCCTGAACTACCCCACAGTCCACTGGTCTTTGCCCAGTGAGAGATGGCCTCCGTGGGCTTTGCTTTGTTCAGGGACCTGTTGGACAGTCATTCATACATACGCTGATCTTAGGCGAGGCTGCATAGCCCTGATACTCTCCTAACTCCACTGTCAGGTCTCACTAGTTACTTCCTGGATTTTATAAGATCAACAGATTTCTCAGTCCCTTGAGTTGGATTTCTGTTTCGTTGGGTTTCTGTTGCAGCTGTGGCTCTCTGCTGTCTTGTGGAGTATTTCTCCTTAACTTTAGTACTTTATACTTTATACTCTCCAGTACTTTAGTCTTGGATAGTCTTGGACTTTCTTCCTCTCCTTTTCCCTTCCTTTCTTCCACCCATCCCCTCTATACTGGGCATCAAACCCCAGGACCTTGCAATATGCTAGGCAATAGAGTCTTGTTATTTCTTAATTTTATTGCTCTTTTACTTTAAGAAATATATTTTACCTATTTGCTATCCTAGAGATTGAATTGAGGGCCCTATGCATGATAGATAAGCACTCTGCCACTGAATTATAGGCATAGCCCTTTAAATTTTTATTATTATCGTGTATGTGTGTATATATTATTTATAAAGCTATATAAAATATAAACAAATTATTTTATTTTTTTAAGAATGGATTTCTCTGTGTACCCCTGGCTGTCCTGGGATGCCCTCTGTAGATCAGGTTGTTCTTGAACTCAGAGATCTATCCCCCTGCCTCTGCCTCTGCCTCTGCCTCTGCCTCTCAAGTGCTGGTATTAAAGGTGCATGTCACCATCACCTGGCTCAAATAATTATTTTAATTAGAATTTATTTTATTGGGTTTTTTTTTGTTGTTGTTGCTGTTTTGAAACAGGAGGGTCTGGGTCAAAGTTTGTTGTTGTTTTGAGTTGAGAATTGAACCCAAGGGTTCATGAATTGTAGATTTACAACAGCTTATTTTTAGGAGTCTGGAAATAGTGAGTAAACAAAATGCCAGAGGCAGAAAGTGTTAAATGGAAAAATTACTGCAGGGTGATATGTGTTAGAATAGTTACTGGAAGGCCAATTTAGGTCATGTGACTATGGTAGAGTGATATCTGAACTGCAAGAAACATTAGTATTAGTAATTCCAAAATTGGGCCTATATGTTCCAGATAGTGGGAGCAGCACTCTTGAGCAAAGGCTTGTATGGATAGGAAAGAGAAAATGAGACCAGGCCAGAGTCAGAATACTCAGGCAGGTAGTTTTCAGTATGGTAGAAGGTGATTGACCTGCTTTATTATTTAAAAATCTGCATTTTGTGCAGGAAAGGGCCACTTAGAGAGTATTGTATGGATTATTGAAGTGGTTATAAAATCTAGGAAATGGTGACTTGTTTGCAAATAAGTCAATGATAGTTCAGGTTAATATGGTAGCAGGAATTGAGAACAGTAGATTGTTTTAGTAATTTACGAAATTTTATAAAAATTTAATTTTTTTTTTAATCAAGCTTGCCTTAGAACGTCAGAAAACTGCAGAGAAAGAACGATTATTTCTGGTGTATGCTAAGCAGTGGTGGAGAGAGTATTTGCAAATTCGACCCTCACACAATTCACGGCTGGTAAAGATTTTTGCACAGGTTTGTAAATTGTTAGAAAGTTTCATCCTTGTGTTTGATATCTAATTTGCTTTTGAAAAATGTTTACATTCCCCAGATGAAAGTTGATTTCTAAAATAGTTATCTTTTATTTGCTACATCAATTGCATAATACTTTTTTTTAAACTTGGAATATACCTTTTTATGATATTTAATATTGATTAAAAATTTGTATACTTTATGGCTTATATGCAAATTTAGCCCCAATGCAGAACAGGGGCTCTAGATGTACATTGTGTTTCTTAGTTTTTACAAAACAAAGCAAAAAACAGTACTGGTTGCCATTGAATCGGCTCAGTGAGTAAAGCATTTGCTGTGCAAACTGGCAGCCTGAGTTCAACCCCAGAATTCATAGAAATGTAAAGGTCCACAGAGTTGTTCTCTGACCTGTGCACATGATCACACACATTACATACACATACTAGTAAAAATAATACATAAAGTATTTTTAAAACAATACTAAGTGCATTAATTGTGTATAACCAATATTTCTAAGCCAGTGACCAGGAATATTTAACTGCACAATTTCAGCTACAGATGCACCTTGACTCACAGCGCAGGTTCACGTTTATGAACATGTTGTTAGGTTGAAAGTGCCGTTAATACAGCTGACCTGCCCTGTTGTGCCTTAGCAACATAATACACTAAGGGATATTAGCTGTTTACCTTTGCAATCAGGTGGCTCACTGGAGCAGTGACTGCCCATTCAAGAAATAGTACATGCTCCATTTTACTAGTCTAAAGTATAGTTTCTATTAGTGTATAGGTATAACTTCTGAGGAACAGATCAAATAGTTTATGTCGTTTCTGTGCGGTGTTAGATTATTTTGACATAAGTATTTCAGATGATAGCAGTCATGTACATTACATTCCCTAATCATTGGAACAAACTACAGATAGCTTCATTTCTAGATAGGGAGCTTGGCAATAAGAGCCCTAACTTAGCATTGGCGTAAAGGAGAAATATTGCTTCGAACTTTACATAGTATTGTCCTTGCTAAGGTATGGGATTGTATTGGGCAAGTGCTATGTAGAAGTACAGCAGCGTTTCTAAAAATTGAGCAGTAGTGTTTCTATTGCCTGAGTTAGGTTTTATTCTATCAGAGCATTTTATATCATTTCCAAAATTTCATCACAAGTGGCTCCTTCACTTTGCTATATTAGTAATCACAATGTTAAGAAAAATGTAGGGTTTGTTAATACCAATTCTAAAAATATGGTGGTAGGCAATTGTCAGACAGCTTTGCATTCTTAGTAGTTATTCAGCATAATTGTTAACATGCATTCCCTTCAGGGCATGGTAGCACACACCTTTATTCCTGACACTTGAGAGGCAGAAGCAGGGTGATGAGTTCAAGGCCAGCTAGGTCTTCACAGTTCTAGGCCAGCCAAGGCTGCACATGATGAGACCCTGTCTCAAAAATAAAATAAAATATAAAATCATAAGATGCATCCTGTGTTTAGAATATATGGTATTTTCCTAAAATGTTTTTCAAATTCTACTTTCAATTGACTATCGTCAATCAGTCAAAACTATTTTAATATTTTGTCTGGATATAAAGTTCTGTGTGATAATATGAAAGATTATTTCATCTTAGATTTAGATCCCTTTCCTTCCTTTAGTCTGCCTGCTGACCCTTTTTCAGAGCCGTTCTTGAGTAGCACAAGCTTTGGAGTCAGATAGCTTAGACCTTAAAAACCCTGGCTTCGGGGCATACCTTTGATCCCAACACTCAGGTGGCAAAGGCAAGTGATCTCTGAGTTCGAGGCCAGCCTGTTCTACAGTGCAAGTTCCAAGATAGCTAGGGCTACACTCCTGTCTTACAAAACAAAACAAAACAAAACAAAATCCTGGGTCCATTGTATAACAGCTGTAGTTTGTTTCATTTATGAAATGAGAGTAAAATAGACTTTATAAGAATTTAAGGGCTGGAGAGATGGCTCAGCGGTTAAGAGCATTGTCTGCTCTTCCGAAGGTCCTGAATTCAATTCCCAGCAACCACATGGTGGCTCACAACCATCTGTAATGAGGTCTGGTGCCCTCTTCTGGACTACAGGCATACATGCAGACAGAATATTGTATACATGATAAAATAAATAAATATTAAAAAAAAAACAAAACAAAAAAGAATTTAAAAGAAGTTAGTAGCCTAGTGCTAGATGCATAGATGCAAGTTATGCACTCAGTAAATAGTGCCCGGAATTATCTACAGTGTAATAGAAAGATGTGACTCTTGGGATGACTAACTTGTTGCAGATAATATTTTCCCCTTCTTCCTCCAGGATGAAAATGGAATAAATAGACCAGTCTGTTCCTATGTTAAACCACTTCGAGCTGGACGGCTTCTGGATACTCCGAGGCAAGCAGCACGATTTGTTAATGTTCTTGGTTATGAACGAGCCCCTGTTATTGGAGGAGGTGGCAAACAGGAGCAGTGGTGCACTCTGCTGGCTTTTCTCTGTAGGAACAAGGTATCATATACACGTAACAAATAGCAGTATCCATTATCATAAGTAGTTTTGATTTTTAGCATGCTTATAAAAGAATTTACTTGAAAACGTACTTATTACCAATTTGAACAAGTCAAATCTTACCACTGTTATCTGTGACATTTACATATCAGCACTTAAATCCTACCATCTTTATTTTTGCATGAAATTCCATTTATTTATTTATTTATTTGTTTGTTTGTTTGTTTTTAGTGTTTTAAAACAGGGTTTCTCTGTAGCTTTGGAACCTGTCCTGGAACTAGCTCTTGTAGACCATGCTGGTCTCGAACTCACAGTGATCCACCTGCCTCTGCCTCCCGAGTGCTGGGGGTTAAAGGTGTGTGCCACCGCCACCCGGTGAAATTTCATATTTAACATAAAGAATGTTATTCCTTTAAGATAGAATCTCAGACCTATTTGTCAGAAACAAAGTCATAGCGCTCAATGTGTTGCTCATGCCTGTGATTCCAGCACTTGGAAAGCTAAGGCAAAAGGTGGTTTCAAGGCCAGTCTGGACAACAGGAAGCTCCAGGCCTGTCTGTGCTATGTAGTGAGACCTTGTAACTATGGGGTTAGCCTAGTGTACATAGCAAGTTCCAGCTCAAGTCTAGGCTGCATAGTGAAACTATCTCAAAAAAGAGCAAAAGTCTTAGCTGGGTAGTGGTGGTACAGGCCTTTAATCCCAACAACACTCGAGAGGCAGGTGCAGGTAGATTTTTTTTTTAAATTCGGAACCAGCCTGGTCTACAGAGTGAGTTCCAGAACAGCTAGGACTACACAGAGAAACCCTGTCTCAAAAAAACAAAAAAAAAAAAAATAAAGGAGCAAAAATCTATAAACAATAATTATGAGAGAAATTCTTGGATTTCATGGTATTCATTTTTCTTCACTGTGTATTGGTGTTTTGCCTGCATGTTTTTATGTGCATGACATGTATGTAGTATTTACAGAGGCCAGAAGAGGGCATCAAATTCCCTGGAAGTGACATTAGAGAACCCAAGTCCTCTGGACTAGCAGCCAGGGCTCTTAACTGCTGAACCAATAAACTTTTAATGGTTTCAGTAGTTTAACTTAGAATATGGGATGATTCCTAATCTTCTAAACTCTAAAAATGTTACTAATATAGTGCACAAGTAAGACTGCTTTTACCATTTACTGTCAGTGAAACTGGAGCAGACAAGTTTCTTCCCCTGCTGCTGTCTTATAATCATTTTGTTGGTGGTCGTGTAAATAGATTGTACAGTCACCAAGGACAGTTCATACAGCAGAGGAAACATTTGAGTAAGAGGTTGATTTGTCAGTTGGAAAGGTTTGTTTTTTGTTTTTCTTGGTTTGCTTTTTATTTTGTAATGTTTTTGAGACAGGATTTCTCTATGTAGTCCTAACTGTCCTGGAACTAGCTCTGTAGACCAGACTAGCTTTGAACTTACAGAGATCCACCAGCCTCTGCCCCTGAGTACTGGGACTAAAAGGCATGCGCCTTACTGCCAAATCCCCAAAACAAGAACTCCACCTTTCTACCCACCTTATTTCTAAAGGTTTCCAAATAAAGGACTTAAATTTTGGTATGTATCGGGGGGGGGGGGGGGGAGAAAGAACTCAATTGCAACTCATAAAAACACTTAAACTTGGGCTGAAGAGATGGCTCAGAGGTTAAGAGCACTGACTGCCCTTCCAGAGGTCCTGAGTTCAATTCCCAGCAACCACATGGTGGCTCACAGCCATCTGTAATGAGATCTGGTGCCCTCTTCTGTCCAGCAAGCACGCAGACAGACAGAACACTGTATATATAATAAATAAATAAATAAATAATAAATCTTTAAGAAAAAATACTTAAACTTTAACTGAAAGTGTCAAGTGAATTTTATGTTATGTTCGTAACAAAAGCACCAAAAAAAATGCTTAGATGGATTCTTCCATCCATCCATAAGTATGAAAGGGCTTCTCTGTATAGTCCTAGCTGTTCTGGAACTCACTCTGTAGACCAGACTGGAACTAAATACATGAGTCCCCACACCTTGCTTGCTTTGAAATCTTTGATATTATAAATGAACTTTTGCATTAAATGCCTTTTAAATTTTATTTTTGAGTTTTGTTTTTATGACAAAAATCTTAGTAAAAAAAAATACTGGGTCTAAAGGTTTCTATTAAACAGTGTGATACGGGTATAGTTCAATAGGAGAGCAGCCCTGGGTTCAGTCTACAACATTGCAAAAAAAGGTTTGTGGGATGGGGAAGGAAATTATAACCATAGAACCAGAATATAAATTTTAAGGGAAAATATATAATTCTTAATTTTCACATTCAATCATTGTTTTTGCATGTTACCTATAATCTTTTTATACTTAAAATATCTGTATATACAAACATAATATATGCCTATAGTGTGTGGCCTGAAATGAACTTCTGATCCACCTCCTGTGTGCTGGGATTATAGACATGCACCTTCATGGCCTGCTTATGGTGTGCTAGAGACCGAACCCAGGCTTTGTGCATGTGAGGCACTCACTCTATCAACTCAGTTTTATAAGATATTTAAGTTGTAAAAGTAGTATACTAAGGGATGGCCATGGTGACACATGCCTGTGAGTGACCCGAGCATCTGGCAGAGACAAGAGATCACTGCAAGTTAAAGGCCATATTTTGCCATGTAGTGAGAACCTATGTGAAAACTAAACCAAAGACAGTAACATAGCAGAGAGAATATGGACAATGGATGGGAAATTATCTTTAATTTATCTTAATAATAAACATTTTACTATTAATTGTTCTTTTAAGCATTTTTTTCTATCCTAAAATCATATGCATGTACTGTTAGAGTTCATTTGCTTAATTTGAGCATTTTTTGTTTATTTACATTTCCTTCTGAAATATTTTTCAGCTTGCTTATTCATGCCCTTTATCTTTTAAATGTTCCTTGTAATTTAGAATCTTTTCACATTGACGTATTTTCTCCTTGCTTCAAATTAACATTGGACTAATAGTTAAACTTGAAACTTTTTATTGTTGTTTTTAGTTATTTAATGCAGCTGTGGATACATACTAATCTTACTTGACTTTACCTTCTAGGGTGATTGTGAAGACCATGCCAACCTGCTGTGCAGCCTTCTTCTTGGATATGGACTGGAGGCTTTTGTCTGTGTGGGGACCAAGGCTAAGGGGGCACCTCACGCATGGGTTATGACTTGTGGAACTGATGGGACCATCACGTTTTGGGAGAGTTTAACAGGGCACAGGTTAGTCAAATGCACAGGGATAGTCAAATGCACATCTAGGGCCAGTGAGTTGATTCTAAACGGCTGTCCTCTGGCTTCTACTTGTGTTGCTACAGCATGTGTGTATTCACACATTGACATCATACATGATAATAGAGAAGCTCTTAAACATTAAAGAAAACACAGGTGTAATTGGGCTGGGGATCAAACCCGAGGCCTTGAATTTATTTGTTTATTGATTCAAAGTGTTGGGGGTCAGAAGACAATGTGCGGAACTGATTTCTTCTACCATGTGGGCCCTGAAGCTCAAACTCAGGACAAGAGGCTTGGCAGCAAGCATCTTTATCCACTGAGCCATCTTGAAATTATATAAGTTTTGCTTGTTTGGCTGGTACTCTAAATTTACAGACTTTTTTACTTAATGTAACTAAGTAAATGACCTTTAAGAAAATGCTATGTACTTCTAAAATATTCTTTATTATCATGATATTAGGAAATATATATTGGATAATCACACCTAATAATATATAATTGTTTTAATTATTATATTCTCTAGGATAAACTTCCTTGATCTTCATCATAGACATAGAACATTTTCCCTTTTTTTCTATTTTTTTCATCTGTTTGTTTGTTTGTTTGTTTGTTTGTTTGTTTGTTTTGAGACAGGGTTTCTTTGTGTAGCCTTGGCTATTGTGGAACTCACTGTGTAGACCAGACTGGCCTCGAACTCAGGGATTCATAACTTTGATTTTTCTAAAGGTGTACCATGCAGATAAGGTAGAGTAATTGAGCTGAAGAGATAGCTCAGTGGTGTGCTTGCTAGTCAAGCATGAATTCAGACCTACAGAACTCATGTAAAACCCGAGTGTGGACATGTGCTGTAATCCCCAGATGTTGGGTAGGGAGCCAGAAGGGTCCTAAGCATGTAGAGACAATCTAGTCTATCCAGAGCTGTGAGCTCTGGGTTCAAGGAAAAACCCCATCTTTAAAAACAAGGAAAAAAAATAGATAGCTATGCAATATCAGCCTCTGGCCTCTTCATGCGCAAATATGAGCAAGTGAGTAAACACTCCCAGTCATCAGATTGCGACAATGCAGAGAGCAAAAGCATGGGCCAAACTTGAGTCTTGGCAAGTAATTACAGCATCGTTTTGGTTGTTTTGTTTTGTTTTGTTTTGTTTGTGGCTTAGTATAATAATTGCCTTTATAATTTTTAAATTCTCATCATATAAAATTATGATGTCTTTTAGGTACATCCACAAGCCTACTAATCCTGATGGACCTCCACTTGCTGAACAGCCCAAACCATTGTACCCCTATCGAACAATTGGTTGTGTTTTCAATCATCAGATGTTCCTGGGGAACTGTCAACCCTCGGATGCAGTAGAGACCTGCATATTTGATTTGAATGATGAGTCCAAGTGGAAACCCATGAGTGAAGAAGCAATTAAGTCTGTGTGTGCTCCAGGGGCCACCACGTCTCTCCCTCCCTTCCCACCTCTGTGTGCATCCACGATTGACGCCTCAGTCACAAGCAATGAAATCGAAATGCAGCTGAGACTCCTAGTGTCAGAGCACAGAAAGGTGACCAACAGAATTAGTTGTAGCTTCATACTTTTGTTGTGTTTAAATTTCTTTCTAATTTATTTTTTGAGGTTTTTTTTGTGGGGGGAGGGGTTCAAGACAGGGATTCCCTGTGTAGCATTGTCTGTCTTTGAACTTGATCTGTAGACCAGGCTGGCCTCAAACTCACAAAGATCCACCTGCCTCTGCCTCCTGGATGCTGGGATTAAAGGTGTGTGCCACCATGCCTGGCTAGAATTATTATTTTATGTATATGAGTATTTTGCTTGTAGGTATGTATGTGTGGCACTTGCATGCCTGGTGCCCAGTCCAAAGCGACTTTCTACATCCCGTGAGACTGGATTCACGGATAATTACAAGCTGCCATGTGGTTACTGGGAATTGGACTGTCTTCTGCAAGAGTAACAAGTCCTCTTAACCACTGAGCCAGCTATCCAGCCCAACTTTTTTTTTTCCTTAAGTGTGTTCAATACCAGTAGTCACTCATTATTCTAGTTCCTGTTTTTATGGAAATTATTGCGGTGGAAATCACGGGACATAGTTGTGAGACTTTGCCAAATGGAAAGATAGGGTAGTAGCTAAGAACATTTCTTGCTGTTCCGGAGGACCCAGGTTCAGATCTTAGCACCCATGTCCAGGGGCTCTCAGCCTATCACTCCATTTCTAGGGACTCTGACAAATCTGCCAAACCTTTAAAGTTATTACTTCCTCCTAGGTTCAAGAATTAGAGATTTGTTCACATTCTTCAGTCAGACTGTGGTTGAATGTCACTGTTTGGATTTCCTATTTGTGAAATGGTTTCTTCAGTTAACCAATACATTTTTAAAAGTTTTGTTAATTTCCTTTTGTCCCCACCCCTAGGCTTTTTTCTTTTTAAGATTTATATATTTTATGTGACAGTTTTTACCTGCATGTATATATGTACACCAGAAGTGTGCTTAATGCCTGCAGCGATCAAAAGAAGGCATCGGATTCCCATGAGAGTAAACAGGGAGCTGTAAACTGCCATGTGAGTGCTAGGAATTGAAACTTGGTCTTCCAGAAGAACCACAAATACTATAACTACTGAGTGACCTCTCCAGCCCTGTTCTTGTGTACTGTTCCACATGGGTTGACATAAAATTATATCCTCATTCTAGCTTTAATTTGTATTCCTTTAATAATAGAATCAGATGTCTTGTTTATTAGCTGTGTAGATATCCTTTAAAAAAGGGTGTTAAAGACAAGATGGCACTGATTAAAAGGATGAGATTAGCATGTTTTATGTTTTTGAAAATTTATTTATTTTGAGACAAAATGTCACTTTGCTCTAGCTGGCCTGGAACTCATCGAGTAGACCAAACTGTCCTTGAACCCAGCACTTCTTCCAGTGCACCACCACTAGTGAGATTAACATATTTTAAGAATTTCCCTTAAGCTAGGAGTTGTAGTCCAATGGTAGAGTGTTTGTTTAGCATGTGCAAAGTCCCCAGGATTGCACATGCACACATATACTGCCCAAACTTGACACTTTGACATTTATCAAAAAAACTGTTAGGAGACCAAAGCCTTAGAGTAGTAAGTTATTTGTAATTCACAGCCAACAAGGGACTGAAATCTAAAATTTTTAGAAAAATGTATTTCTAGTGTACCTTTGGTATTTTTAAAATCCTGTTCTTGGAGAAACTTTCCTTATTTTCCTAAAACTGTCAAAGGCAAACTGGTTCATTATATTCTCTGGACTTCCAATCACTGATAGCTTTGGCCTAGCATATTCCTTGCTCATCAGCTCATAAAGCATTTACGTGTTTCCAGCATCGAGCTGATGGGGAAACTACTAATTACACGGCTCAGATGAAAGTTCCTCCTTGTTTTCTCCTTCTCTCACGTTGCCTGGTAATAGAACAGATGAGGACAATATTTTATTGTACTATAAGCTTGTTTTCAACACAGTCCTGTGGTTTCACCATGGTGTTCTGGTATTACGTATGAGAACTGACATAGCTAATCAGTACCTGTTAGTAATCAGGGAAATATAAATTAAGGTCAGAATGAGGGTATCATTTCCCATTGACTTGTAGCTGAAATCAGTGTCATTAGCTAAAGTCAGTAGCACCTGTAACCCGTTAGGGGACTGTGGCAGGGAAAGGGTTAAGTTGATTCAGGCCTTTGAGACTCCTTTACAACAGCTAGAACCCTGAGTGGATGACAGGAGACTGTCATGATCAGTAATCACAGAATGAAAATATTTAGAATTCTAAGATACTTTTGATATTTGTACTTAAAGGTTTTTGCTTAGTTTATATATTAGTAGTTCACTTGTCTTTACAGATGAAATCATAATTGTCTTGAACATTCATAGAAATGTGTGTTTTAAGTTTTCTGTCAGCTGGTAGGTAGCATATTGTCTTTACCTTTTTAAAAAAATTTTTAGATTTATTTATTTTTTGTGTATGAGTATTTGCCTGCATGCCTAGTATCCACGACTTTCAGAAAGGGCTTGTGATCCCTTGGAACTGGAGTTACAGATGATTGTGAATCGCCATGTGGGTGCTGGGAATAGAACCCTGGATCTCTGTAAGAGCAACAAGTGCTCTTAACTGTTGAGCCAACTTTCCAGCCCTGTCTTTACCTTTTAATCTCTTATAGTGTAGAAGATAGTGCCTTTTAGGATCAGTGTTCAGGAAAATTCAATTGATTTATTGACTTTGTCCCCTATTGTAGGTGAATTTATGCAGATTGTCTTACTAAACTTTTTGAGGGGTAAGGGGGACAGAACAGTTTTTTTTGTTTTGTTTTGTTTTTTTCCCCTGGCCTCAAACTTTCTCTGTAGCTGATCCTCCTGCATCCACCTCCTGTGTATTGAGATTACAGGTGTGCACCTTCACACCTAGTTTTATGTAGTTCTAGCAATTGAACTCAGGGCTCCAAGCCTTACCAAGCAATTTAAATGAAATATAATCTCAAAGTTTATTGACATATGTCTTCTATATTAGGATGATTATGTGTATTCTGTCTAATTGGTATTTATTTTGTAGTTTTGAACTTTATACATGCTAGATAAATCATTCTATTGAATGATTTTTAGTTATTCCTAAGAATTAGAACATAATAACATCCTCTTATTTTTATTATTGTTCATCCCTAGAATAATTAATAGTAAACTGAGAAATTATGATACCTTAAAAAACTTCTTAATACAAAAAATTGAAATAACCCCATGTATCTTATTGGATCACCATGACTTAGAATTCAATAGCAACACTAACTTCAGAAAGCCCACAAACACGGAATTAAACAGTGCTCACCTGAATCACCAATGGGTCAAGGAAGAAATAAAGGAAATAATTAAAGACTTCCTAAAATTCAACAAAAATGACCACACAGCATACCCAAATTTATGAAGCACAATGAAAGCAGTGTTATCCCACAGAACCTTGACAACAAAGAGAACCCTAAGAGAGACATACATTGATCTAATCTACATAGGAAGTAGAAAAAGCATGGGATCATGGGAGAGTGTAGAAGGGCAGGGAAGAAGACTGGAGAAAAATACATAGCTTAATTAAAAACAATTTAAAAAATGTAAAGTGCAAAAAAAATTCTCTTCATTTGGACATGATGACAAACACCTTTAATCCTAGCACTTGGGAGACTGAGGTGGGCAGATTTCTGGAGGCCAGCCTGGTCTACATAGCGAATTCTGGGACAGCAAGGGCTATGTAGAAGAAGCCCAGTCTTTAAAGAGAAAACCTGAAAGCTTGGGAGGCAGAACCAGGCAAATCTCTGAGTTCCAGGCCAGTCAGGGCTACATGGCGAGAATTTATCTAAAAACAAACACAGATCTCTTCATCTCAGGTGTGATGGCACATGTCTGCAATCCCAGCACTCAGGAGGCATGAGCAGGAGAATCATTGTAAGTTAGAGGACATCTTTGAAGGCTAGCTAGGCTACAAAGTTAGATTCTGACACACACGCGCGCGCACACACACACACACACACACACACACACACACACACTCAATCCTAGTGTTTGGGAAATGAATTTGAGGCCAACCTGGTCTACAGAGTGATTTCTAGAGCAACCAGGGCTACACAGAGAAACAGTTTGGGGGGAAAAAAGCAGTAGAAAGTACATTTTTATGTACTTGGTTTTTAAGATCCTAATATTTTTCACTATTTTAATTGTTACAGGACCTTGGCCTCACTACTGTTTGGGAGGATCAGCTTTCCTATCTTTTATCACCAGCTTTGGCTTCATATGAATTTGAGCGAACAACAAGCATATCTGCAGGCAATGAAGAATTTCAGGATGCTATCAGGAGGGCTGTACCTGATGGCCACACATTTAAAGGGTTTCCAATACATTTTGTGTATAGAAACGCAAGGCGTGCATTCGCCACTTGTCTTCGGTAAGGGTTTTATGGATTCATAATGAAGAAATTTATGAATTCAGCCCGGTGCATTCCTTTAATCCCAGCACTCAGGAGGCAGAGGCAGGTAGATCTCTGTGAGTTCTAGGCCAGCCTGGTCTACAGAGTGAGCTCCAGGACAGCCAGAGCTACACAGAGAAACTGCCTTGGAAAACAAAATAAACAAAAGGAATCTAGAAAGGCAGTTATTCTGATAATTGCTAGGAGTGACAGCATACATACACGGGAGAGTGTCTACAGTGACTTTCTCTTTAAACACATTTTCTTTTTATATAGGTCTCCTTTTTGCGAAGAAATAATCTGTTGTCGTGGAGATCAGGTGCGACTGGCAGTTCGCGTTCGAGTGTTTACCTACCCTGAATCTGCATGTGCTGTTTGGATCATGTTTGCTTGTAAATATCGCTCAGTATTATAGGACTAACATTTCCTAAGAATTACTCCTTTGTTTTATTAGAATGGTATATGACTAGCTGTGTGAAGGTTTCTTAATGTAAATTCAGTCTCTGACTTTTGATGTCAATGTTTTGTATAGATCTGACTGATAATGTTTTAAAATATCATGTATGTACTTAAAAATTAAGTATAAAAAGTTTGTATTGAATTTAGTATAAATTAAGTGTATAATAATGATACTTTCTTTTGAGGGACTCAGTTTGACTGTGAATATAAGATGTTTACATTAATAAGTAAAGAGATTTGTCTAGTGATTTAAGCCACAGTTAAATCAAAATTATCATTATTTTTCATAAATAAAAGATTATTTTACACAAATTAGGAGAAGTTAACTTCATAATATCTTATTTATTACATAGGTGAAAATATATTTTGCTGAATTAGTATTTTTGTGGTTTACTCATGACATTAGTTAGGGATATTTGAGGCTTTCCAGAAGTTTTTGTGAAGACTTTGATGTAAGAAAAAGGGCCAAGTGTGGTGGCACAGGCTTTTAATTCCACAAGAGGCCAGCCTGGTCTACATAGCAAGTTCCAGGCCAGTTAGGGCTATACAGTGAAAACCTATCTCAAAAAAAAAGTAGTATCAAAAAAGCATAAATATTAATAACAAATCTCATATGAGTATGTGGGAGTGTACATAATTTATTGATATTATTAAAATGAATTGAGCACTTTAGAAAATACTAATTACACTTCCTAGTTACAAAGTGATTTGACTTTCTCTCAGGAACTAATGATAAATTTGTCAAGTTTGACTGTCCATTCTTCTGTGCAGAAGGTTCTTGTTTTGTTTTTATGATGATAGAAACCTAGGGCTTCCTACATGCTAGGCAAACACTACCAGTGAGCTATACCCACAGTATCTCACTATATAGCCTTTGCTGGCCTGCCTCTGTGTGCAGTTTCTTAGTTTAGTTTCTTTACCCATTGGTTGTCTTAAGATATAAGTGTATGCTAGTTCACTATCCAAATTATTTATTCTTTTCATTACCTACTGTTGGAAATAAAATAACTTTATTTATTTATTTATTTTTGGATATCTGACTTTTTTTATATTGACTTCGTGTGTGTGTGTGTGTGTGTGTGTGTGTGTGTGAGAGAGAGAGAGAGAGAGAGAGAGAGAGAGAGAGGTGGTGTGTCAGAGTAGGTGAAATCAGGAGAACTTTCAGGAGTAGGTGCTGTCTTCCATGCTGGAGAGTGAGTGGACTCAGGTCATCAGACCTGACAGCAAGTAAGTGCCTCTACCTGCTGAGCCACCTCACTGGTCTAAAGCTTGTTGAAATTATTTGAAATTATAATGTAAAGATTCTGTGCCGGGCAGTGATGGAACACCTTTAATGCCAGCACTTAGGAGGCAGGGGACAGTAAATCTCTGTGAACTCAGGGCTAGCCGGGACTATAAAGCCAGGTCCAGGACAGCCAGAGCTGCACAGAGAAACTCTGTCTTGAAAAATAAAACAAGGCTGGGTGGTGGTGATGTGTGCCTTTAATCCCAGCACTCGAGAGGCAGAGGCAGGCGGATCTCTGTAGAGTTCGAGACCAGCCTGGTGTACAGAGCAAGTTCTGGAACAGGCTCCAAAACTACAGAGAAACCCTGTTTGGGGTGAGGGAAGACTTCTTTTTGTGTCTCTTATCCAGGAACTAGCTCTTGTAGACGAGACTGGCCTTGAAGTCACGGAGATCTGCCTGCCTCTGCCTCCCAAGCTCTGGGATTAAAGGCATGCGTCACCACTGCCTGGTGAAAGGTCTTAAAACTTAAAAAATGACTTTACCTTATTTTTAGAAGTCTAAAAATATTCTCCCCTCACTTTTACCTCTTGTAAAACTGACATGGCTTTAAAGAATTAATCTGTTACCAGAATTACACATGAAGCCATCAACAGAAAATTGCTCGTAATGTATTAAGATCAAAGCTATTTCATTAGGTTGGGCCTCTTGCCTTCCTATATATTAATACATTTATTTCAGCATGCTTTGCTATAAATTCTATAATAATTTTTTTTTTTACTTAATAAGAGTCTGTTTAAGAGCACTTGCTGCTTTTCCAGAGGACCTGAGTTAAATTCCCCGCACCCACATTGTAATGATCTGTTCTGTCTTTTTAAGAGACAAGCCATGCCCACCCCCTCCTCTGTCCACTGAGGCAGGCTGATCTTCAGCTTACAGCCTGAGTTCCTTCTTTTTTTCCATTTCCCTCTCGAAGAGGCATCTTCTGCCTCTCCCTACTTCTCCCCTTTCCCCTTCTCTCTCCCTTCTCTCTCTTTCTCTCTCTCTCTCTCTCTCTCTCTCTCTTCTCTCTCTCTCTCTGCTCTTCTCCCCTTCTCCCTTCCCCCTCCATAACCCACTGAATAAAATTCATCCTCACTCTGCATGGTGTGCCAATTCATGTCTCTGTCTCTTGCTGTCGCTGCATGTCTCCCTGCCCCGGACGAGCCGCCTTCGGAGACCTGTGGCGTGGTCTCATGACATGCCCATCTGTCTGTCTCTCCTTGTGGCCTGCTGTAGCCACATGGGGAACTGTGCTGTCCCTGCCTGAGACTGACTGCTCTCTGGACCCGCTGCCTGCCGCCACATGGCCCACTGCTGCCACTCGGGAACCTACAGTTTTTACCACTGCAGCTGCCAGGGATCCGGGGATCCTGCAGCTTTTTTATTAATCCACTACACGCATGGCAGCTCACAACTGTAACTCCAGTGACGGGGCCTGAAACCTTCATAAAGACAGGCAGGCTTGCAGGCAAAATACCAATGCACATTTTTTAAAAAGATGGTTATATGGTTAAATCACTGATCAGTAGAATGCTTGTGCTAATTTGTGTGTTGTGTCTTAGTTACCTTTCCTGTCCCTGGGATAAAGTGCCATGACAAAAGCAACTTAAGGGAGAAAGATTTTTTTTTGGCCCTAGTTGGAGGTTGCACTCAGTTATGGTGGTAGAACTTGAAGCAATGGTTCGCGTAGCAACCACAGTCAAGAAAGAGAGGGATCCAAGCCCTTCCCCTAACTGCTCACAGGTAAGCCTGAAGGCTTGCCTCCTAGGCTGTGGTTCCAGATCCTGTGATACCAGCCAACCATTGGTGTGTTCCTTTGTTGTTTTTCTGTTTGTTTTTTAAATAGGGTTTCTGTGTGTAGTCCTGGCTGTCCTGGCACTCACAGAGATCCACCTGCCTCTGACTCTGCTATTACCACCCAGCTTTTTTGAATCTTCTGAGAGACAGGGTCTTTTTATAGAGCTGTTGCTGGTCTCACACTGAAGGCAGTTCTCCTGATTCAGTCTCCCACGCGCTAGAACCACAGCTGTTGATGACCACACCCAGCAGTAAGTTTCACCTTTTAAAACTGGGAGCTGAGCGGTAGTGGCGAATTCCTTTAATTCCAGCACTTGGGACGCAAGAGGCAGGTCTCTGACCGGTCTACAGAGCTGGTTCAAGGACAGCCAGAGATACACAGAGAAGCCCTGTCTTGAAAAAAAGACTAATCATATGTATTTCTGTTTATTTCACATGCCACCCCTCCAGTCCCTGAGGTCCACATTTTTACTGCCTAATAAAGTTTGTGTTCAAGTGCAGGCTTATATTTGAAAAGAAAGTTGTTACTAAGATCTTTTTTGAAGCAGGGTGGACTCTAACTCACCTTGAGCTCATAATTCTCTGAGATTTCAGGCACGTCTGAAACCTAAATGAAACCTAAAAATCTGAAGATACTAGTTATGAACCTTCAATTATGTAAACTCAGAAACCCATTCTAGTCTCATGCCTGCCAAGAACTGAAAAACAAAACAAAAAGCCCTCAAATTATATTATGGTTTAAATTGATCTTTTTTTTTCAATGACTCTAAGATAACAATTTCACATTTTAAGTAGATAAATGCAGAAATTAGTTGTATTTTTAATGTCTCCCTAATTTTTGTAACAATGAAAGTAATATACTCTCCAATAGTTTTTATCTGATAAACAGATTTTCTAGACTATCTTAAAATAGCTAAACATATAAAGAAGACATCATGTTTTGAAGTTTTTTTTTTAACATACTGTTAATATAGCACAGTACAGTTAAATCACAAGTTCGTGCATAATAAATGCTGGTTTTTTTGTTTGTGTTTTTTTTTGTTTTTTTTTTGTTGTTTTTTGTTTTGATAAAGGGTGTCTTTGTGTAGCCCTGGCTGCCCTGGAACTTAATTTGTAGACCAGACTGTCCTAGAACTCACAGAGATCCCCCTGCCTCTGTCTCTTGAGTGCTAGGATTAAAGGCATGCACCACCACTGCCCAACCCTAAACACTTTTATTTACTGGAGTTTTGTATTTTCTTCTGAGATTTTGTTGGTATATGCCTTATAATTATATTTGATTTATACTTGACATATGATGGATACATTTGGAGCCTATTTTCATATGACTTAACACAATGTTTGAGTCAAATGAAGTATCGACTTTATGTTTACAGAATTATCTTTGTGTATGTGTGTATGCTTGCTTGTCTGCATGTGCACTGTTTATGCTGTGCCCTCAGGCCAGATGAGAGTGTCCTCAGTACAAAACACTTGAATGTTTACAAAAAGCAATATAATTTTTTTTCTGTCGTTTATAGTTGGGACGGAAGAATCTGTTGCCAAATCTACAGCTGCACAGATACGCGTTCTCTTCTCAGCTCTAAGTTTTCAGTGAACTGTATAAGGTGTGGACTGAGGGTACAAGTGCAATGGCACTATTTGTTTTAGAAAGTTTCCTCCTTAGGTGGGCAGTGGTGGTGCACACCTTTAATACCAGCACTTGGGAGGCAGAGACAGGTGACTCTGAGTTCCAGGCCAGCCTGGTCTACAAAGGGAGTTTCAGGACAGTCAGGGCTGTTACACAGAGAAACCCTGTCTTTGATGGCAGAAGTTACAAAATGGTCCCACACTAGTTCTGAATTACATATAATAAAGGGTTATTTATTTAGGAGAGACTCACAGATCACTGTCCTAGATCACAGTCCTCTGCACCAACGGGGAACAGGAACAAAGTCTAGCAACCAGAAGCAAGAGAGCCACAGCATGCTTTACAGCTGCATTTATATGAGACCACGCCCAAGTGGGCTGGTATCTTAAAGGCTATTGGCCAAAGGAGCTCCCACCACATGTCTTGAAAAACAAACAAAAAAAACCAGCAAAAAATATTATTTAACCATAGATGTACACATTTTTTTCTTAAGTCGCACTTCTCTTCCTATTATGCTAATATCACACTTTAAAAAAATAAAAGCAATCTCATTAATGTAGCACAATTGGCCTGGGACTCATTAACTAAACCAGACTGGCTTGGAACTTGCTTCAGTTCCAAGTGCTAGGATTACAGGCGTGCCACCACACCCAGTTTGTGACAGTTATTTTTTGAGGCAGTGTCTCACATAAGCCAGGTTGGCATTAAATTCATTCTGGTAGCGGAGGGTTACTGAATTGCTGGTCCTCCGGACTCTGCCTCCTGAGTCCCAGGATTACAGAGGCGTGCCACCACACTCCGTTGTATGTAGTAGTGGAAATCAAACCTAGAGCTTTGTGCCTTCTCTTTACCCACGGAGCTACACCCCTAGCACACACAATTTTTTTTGTTTTGTTTTGGTTTTTCAAGATAGGGTTTCGCTGTGTTACACTCCTGGCTGTCCTGGCATTAGTTCTTGTAGACTAGGTTAGCCCCGAACTCACAGAGATCTGCCTGCCTCTGCCTCCTGAGTGCTGGGATTAAAGGCGTGCACCACCACTGCTTGGCTGTGCATATACATTTTTATTACTGTTTCCTTAAAGTTCTGAGCTTGGGAAAGTGTGGATTCACAATCTTGTTCTTTTCCAAGACCACTCAGATTATGGGTGTCTTGAGATTCCATATAAGTTTTAGAACCAAGCTGAGCGATGGTGTGCGCATACCTTTAATCCTAGCACCTGGGAGGCAGAGGCAGGAGGATCTCTGAATTCGAGTCCACCCTGGTTTACAGAGCAAGTTCCAGGACAGGCTCCAAAGCTACAGAGAAATCCTGTCTCGAGAAACAAAAATCAAACAAACAAAAATTTTAGAACCAGATTTTTAGTTTATATATATATTTTTTTTTAAAAAAAGCAAGCTGATGGAGAGGGGCAGGTAGAGGGGAGAAAGTCAGTTGGCCTTCTAATGGTTCACTTGGAATGTGTGGGTCACTTTGGGGAATGTTGTTTTCAGGATCATAGCCTCTTCCATTCTTAAACTTTAAACTGATCCGTGTCTTTGAATCTAAAATGTATCTTAAACAGATGACATATAACTGAATCTTTTTAAAAGCCAGTTGAAAGTCTGTGTGTCTTGATGGGACTGTTAAATACATTCAGACTTGGATTCAGAGGTATATCACATGCTTTGCATGTGGAAGGGTATGTATTAAATTCCTAATACCCCCCCCCAAGGAAAACACTTTCATTATGATATATTATATTCATTTTTACTGATGTAGTTGTACTTAGGTCTGCTGTTTTACTTTTTATCTTTGTCTAATGCCTATTTTGTTCTTTTATTCCACCTTTGCTACTATTTTATTTTGAGGTTTTTGGTGTCCATGTGTCCTGTGAGCCCCACTGTGATATCTCCTTCCTCAGGATAGAATCTTGCCATGCAGCCCAGATTGCTCTCAAACTTGAGATCTTTCTGCCTCAGCTTCTCCTGTGCTGGGATTACATATGCGCACCCCCAAGGTCCACTTCTTTTTTTCCTGCCTCACCCCCTCTTTTTTCTAATTTATTTATTTTTATTTTATGTGCATCAGTGTTTTGTCTGCATGTATGTATGTATGAGAGTGTAAGATCTTGGAGTTACAGACAACTGTGAGCTGCCATGTGGGTGCTGCTGGGTCCTCTGGAAGAGTAGTCAGTGCTCTTAAGCACTGAGCCATCTCTTCACCCTCCCCGACCCCATTTTTTCTTTTCCCTCACTACTGTCTTCATTTTCTGATGAGTGAGTGATCTGTATCGTGACAAGGACTCTCACCCATGAGCCATCTATCTCCTCAGCCCCAGATCCTTTATAAAAAGTATTTTCAGCCTTAATTATTTTGAGAATCTCTATTTTTTTTAAGACAGATTTTTTTTTTTCTATGGTAGCCTTGGCTGTTCTGGAGCTAGCAATGTAGACCTGGCTGGCCTTGAACTCCCAGGGATCGACTTGCCTTTAATCCACCTGGGCTTAAAGTTACGTTCCACCATGCCAGACTTGAGAATATGTCTTTAGTCGGATGTGGTGGCTCAGACATGTAATCACAGCACTCCAAAGGTTGAGAAAGGAGGATTGCTAAAGTATGTATAGAAGAGAGTCCAATCATTTGTTTGGTACTTGTATTGGTGTATCTGTATGTGCATTTTTTGTGTGTCTGTATATGTATATTTGTGTGTGTGTGTGTGTGTGTGTGCATATGTGTACACATGCATGTAGAGGCCAGAAGTGTAGTTACTGGGGATTAAAATTAGGTTCTCTGCAATAGCAACAAGTGCTCTTAACTGCTGAGCTAGATGTCCAGCCCGAGATACTATTTCCGAACTGTAAATTAGCCTTTATGATAATTCATAATTATTTTTATAGGAATGGGACCAAGTCGATCACGTGGAAAGCAATTACTATGGGAGATGACTATGGTGATGAACCCTAAGTGCCAAAGACTAATCAAGGAAGGATGGACTCATTTTGGGGTTTCAGTTAGTGGTTTGAAATATCAAGTTTACACAATTATAATCGTCTCCTATTGTCGTAGACTTGATAGGAGGAGGGATGAGTGTCAGCCCCAGAGGAAAGAAGCTGATCAGGAGGCCTGGACTCCACTCCCACCCTTTTACTTACTAGCCCTACATTTTGCCCTGTCACTGTCTCTTCCCACTTGTAAGACGGGGATAATAACTACCCTTTTAGTTTTTATAACCGGGGAAAGAAAGCATTAAAAGTCACTACAATATGTGGAATATAATGATTGACATTGGAAACTGAGGTTAGAAGATGAAAAAAAAAACACTGTTATATTTTTTTCCCCTTTTGGTGTACTTTTCCAGGTGAATGTGTCTCTTAGGAGCATTTGTCTGGGAGTGTCTGGGATAAGCCGGGGCTGCACAGATAGACCATGCCCTCCAAAGGCCTCAGAGCAGCCCGGCCTGCATCATGTCCAGAGCATCAAGCATGAAGTACATCTAGTCTACAAAAGTGATAAGTAAATCTAAAAAAAACTCTCAAGGATCCTATTTTTAAAATAAACATTAAAAAAATCAAGGAAAACTAAGATCATATTCTGAGTTACACGTGCCATTTCTTTTACTGGTGTCCTGACACTTTGAAAGTATCTTAAATGTTCAGTTGGGTTGTTTGAACATTTGAAGTATATACAGTCACTTTTAGAAATCCAAATTGATAGCAACTAGAATGAAATAAACATACAGGTGTTTGGACCGTTTGAGACTGAGTTGGAAATAAGAAGCAAAAAGCTGCCCACGAGGGCACAGGGTCCCACAGGGCCTCCACGAGGAGCACGGAGCAGCTAGCAGTCACTCACAAGGGAACCTCATGATGGTGAATGAGTAATGGCGAATCAATCCCACACCAGTTATGTTTTAAAGGGGTATTTATTTTGGGGGGTAAAACTTACATACACCATAAACCGTCAGGAAGGGAGCCTAGTCGCTGAAGCAGGAGCTGGAACCAAGCTCTGGAACCAAGAGTCCGAGCCGAGGCTTACCGCTCTTCTTTTAAAGAGAAATATACCACGCCCCAGTGGGCTGGTATTTCAGTGGCTATTGGCTGACGGAGTGGAAGGCACTCCCGCAGCACTGTGGGCTCGTGCTTCAGCGACTATTGGCTGAAGCAGCGGAAGGTACTCCCGCAGCACCTCCCCCTTTTGTTTAAGTAAGAGAGTTCTAAGCCTACTACAAAATTATATACAGTAAGTACAAACCTACAAAATTATATACAATAAGTATAAATATCCTATTCTAACTAGCTAAAGTCTTGTATAATAAATAACTTGGCCAAGTCATGAGAGGAAAATAGCTACATTTATCTAGTCTTCAACCCCATAGAAGATCCGAGAAGGGAAATAATGTTACCTGAGTAATTAGGAAGTGCAATCAAAGAACTTCCAAAACATGCAACAAATCACAGAGACAACTGGCTACCTGGGCAATCACCAAAGGCCTGTTTGCAGCGTTGAAGCAACCAACTTTGACTAAGGCCTAGAATAACTGACAGATTATTTTTAACAGGCAAGAGATTTTTCAAAACCATCTTACCCTGTCTTGGCAAGATTTAACAGTTCTGTTTATCCATTTCCAGATTTTATCCATTTCCGGATTTTAACAGGCAAGAGATTTTTCAAAACCATCTTACCTTGTCTTGGTAAGATTTGACAGTTCTGCTTATCCATTTCCGGATACCGTGTATTTGTCAGTAGTTGAGGTATGGGCAGTTCCTTGCCCAAAGGCCAATTTTGTCAAGAAGACAAGCTCCAAGTAGAGTATCTTTGGTGCTCAACAATCTCTCAAGAATAGGTCGGTGTTGCCAGGAGTGATTGTGTCTCACTACACAGAACTCTAAGATTAAATTAAATGCCATTTTCTACAGCTCTTCGAAGAGGTTGAAGACTATTTACATATAATCTCTATGTATCTAAAGAACCTGATTAGTCTAACCATAAATATGACAGACATAGATGACTATTGATCTACAATTCCTTTTTTTTATGACTTATTTATCTTTTATTTTATGTGCATAGGTGTGAAGGTGTCAGATGCCCTGGAACTGAATTTTCAGACAGTTGTGAGCTGCCATGTGGGTGCTGGGAATTGAACCTGGGTCCTCTGGAAGAGCAGTCAATGCTCTTAACCGCTGAGCCATTTCTCCAGCCCCTGATCTACAATTCTTAACATGTATCTAACTTAAAGACTAAGAGAATAAACAATTGTGTAATAAATGAGGACAATGACCTCCAAATGTAAACAATAAATATCAATACATAAACAATATATAAGTATCTTAATCAGAGGTAGAAATCTACACTGCAATATGATATACATATATCAATACAATATATATCAATACATAAAAAATGTTTTAAACAGGTAGAAGCATGCATACATACAATATTCAATATATGCCGATGTAATTATCTATAAACAATAACTCACAAATACCATTATTATCTATCCAATTATCCCCCCTTTTTTTCATCCCTGAGCTTATAAAATTCCTTTCCCGACTCTCAACCGTATACTAATTATAATCAATCCCTAAATATTGTTCCTAAACCTGAGAACAAACTTTGCTGAGAGAGGGGACATCGTCCTCTAGAATTACTTCCAGCTGTCATGGGGGTGAGGTTCTTTCTGGAGGATCCTGTGAAAGTAAAATGATGGTTAAATTTCAAGATCAATGTCTTTTAAAATTGCAAACAGTCTCTGAGTATTTTGTGGAGGTCTGGCCAGAATGTTGTACAAGATGTGCACCATTTCAGTTAACCAAGTTGGAATCATCTGTGCAGCTGATACCCGGAACAGGACTTGTAGTAGCACTATCAGTATCATGACGTCACCTCAACCATGTGGAGTTGTTGTTATGGGGGTCCCATCTTCTTCCTGGAAACTTCAAATGTCAGTGCAGAAAAAACTCATTGTTCATTGTAGAAAACTTAAACATTAATTATATAGACATATACAAACATATATTCAATGAAAGGTATGATAGACATATTCAGTGAAAAATATGATAGATATGAAGAAAAGCAAAGATATTTTCTAAACTCATATTTCTTTCTGTCTCATATCATGGCTCTTGCCATAAGACAGAAACTCCAGAAACTCTGGATTTTTCTCCTAACAACAGGCTTGGAATTAGAGAGGGACTGAGCCAAGAGTCCAACTCCAAAACCAGCTCTATAAATTCAGAAATATGATTTAGTATATTCCAGAGCTTCATACTCACAGAACCTATTCAGTTTTCTTGATAATCAATATTGGGTAGTTATTTTTCCATCTGTCAGTATTCAAACATCCAGGGTCCTTTGAATTTTTCAAAGACGAGTGTTTTTCTGTGGAGATAAGAACAGAACCCTGCCCCCATTCTATGTTTTTCTTACCACCTGTATGGTCGTCATCATTGTAGATGCTGTCATTTCTTCTTTCCAAGAGGTTTCTTCTCTTCAAATCTAACCTTTATTAATTTTGATGGTATCTACAATTTTTCTTCTCCTGTGGAAACAAGAGCAAAACCCCTTCCCCAACATAGTACATCTCCTGGCTTCCATTGAGAGGTCAGCACATCCTTGATATAAACCGGTTGATTTAGTTCAGCAGACTTTTCCATTATTCAATGTCTTTCTGCCGCTATTGTTCCCTTCTCATTAGCGTTAAGAAAATTCAAGGTTAATAAGGCATTATGTAATCTATTTCTGGGGGCATTTTCTACCTCTTTCTGTTTATTTAACATATCCTTTATAGTTCAATTTGATCTTTCTATGACTGCTTGACCTGTAGGATTGTATGGTATACCTGTAACATGCCTAATATTATAATAAGCAAAAAACCGTTTCATTTTCCTAGATACATAAGCTGGACCATTATCTGTTTTTATTTGTGCAGGTATACCCATAATGGCCATTACTTCTAATAAATGTGTGATTACTGAGTCAGCTTTTTCTGAGCTTAAAGCAGTTGCCCACTGAAAGCCTGAATAAGTGTCAATGGTGTGATGTACATATTTTAATTTTCCAAATTCTGCAAAGTGGAACACATCCATCTGCCAAATTTCATTCCTTTTAATACCCTTTGGATTAGTCCCTGCAGGCAATGGTGTTTGGTTATAAAAAGAGCAAGTAGGGCATTTCTTTACAATCTCCTTAGCTTGTTGCCATGTAATAGAAAACTCCTTTTTCAAGCCTTTGCTATTGACATGATTTTTTTATGAAATTCAGATGCCTGCAGCACACTACCAATCAATAATTGATCAATATCTGCATTACCTTGTGCTAGAGGACCTGGCAGACCCATACGGGATCGGATATGTGTTATATACATAGGGCAGAGCCTGTTCCTGATCATGTCTTGTACCTGAATAAACAATGAGGTCAGTTCTGTATCATCAGGTATAAATTCAGCAATTTCAATATGCAAAATAACTCTTTCTGCATATTGTGAGTCAGTAATTATATTAAGAGGTTCTTTAAAATCCCTAAGCACCATAAGGATGGCATATAATTCTGCCTTCTGGACAGAATCATAAGGACTTTGTTCCACTTTACTTAATTCTTCTGATTTGTAACCTGCTTTCCCTGATTTATTAGCATCAGTATAAAATGTACGGGCTCCGGTTATTGGAGCATCACAGACAATTCGAGGAAGGATCCAAGAAGTTCTCTTTATAAAGTTAAGTCTCTTGCTTTTTGGGTAATTGTTATTGATTTCTCCCAAAAAATTAGCACAAGCTCTTTGCCATGGTTCATTGTCTTCCCACAACTTTTTTATCTCATCAGCAGTGAAAGGCACTATAATTTCTGCTGGGTCTATACCTGCTAATTGATGAAGTCTCAATTTTCCTTTTATAATCAATTCAGAGACTTTTTCCACATAAGTTTTTAATTTTTTACTTGGTTTGTGTGGTAAAAAGATCCATTCCAAGATAATATCATCTCTTTGCATCAAGATTCCTGTAGGAGAAATTTTGGAAGGCAATATGACGAGAATACAACTAAGCTTTGGATTTACCTTGTCCACATGAGCCTCCTGTAATTTTTCCTCAATCATTGTCAGTTCTTTTTCTGCTTCGGCTGTTAATTCTCTGGGACTGTTTAAGTCTTTATCACCATCCAAGGTCTTATTTAAATGAATTATTAGATCAGGTGTTATCCCAACAGCCGGTCATAGGCTGGAGATGTCTCCTAATAATCTTTTTTTAAAATTTATTTATTTATTATGTATACAATATTCTATCTGTGTGTATGTCTACAGTCCAGAAGAGGGCACGAGACCTCATTACAGATGGTTGTGAGCCACCATGTGGTTGCCGGGAATTGAACTCAGGACCTTTGGGAGAGCAGGCAATGCTCTTAAACACTGAGCCATCTCTCCAGCCCTCCTAATAATCTTTGAAAGTCATTAAGAGTTTGTAACCGGTCTCTCCTGATTTGTGCCTTTTGAGTCTTAATTCTTTGTAAACCTATTTCATAACCTAAATAATTAACAGAATCTCCTCTCTGAATTTTTTCAGGAGCAATTTGCAATCCCCATTTAGGTAATA